GAATGGCTGCCTCCTCCTCCTCCTCGTCGGCCGGGGGCGGTCTGGCCGAGCTGCTGCCACAGCAGACACAGCTGGCGCAGCCGCAGCATGCGATTGTGAGCAAACCCCTGTCCGCAGAGCGGGGCATCATGCGGGGTGTCCTGACCCCCAATTCCCTGGAGAAGAATATCTTTCGCTATAACGATCCCACAGTCAATGGAATACTCCTCCAACAACAGCAGCAGCAGCAGCAGCAGCAGCAGCAGCAACAACAGCAGCAACAGCAGCAGCATCCGATGCAGTTGCTCTCCAATTCGCAGAGCTCCATTGCTGGAGTGGGGGTGGGGCAGCAGTACGGAGGAGGACTGCAGCATGCCCAATCACAGAGCTCGATGGCCTCATCATCGTTGAATGGGAGCAGCAGCAACCTGTTGCATTCGCATACGCAGCAGCAGCAGCAGCAGCAGCAGCACTTGCATCATCCCTCGCAGCATATCCACTGCCCGCCCGGACCGCAGACGAGTGCCTCGAGCACAATGGAGCGTATGGATCGCATGGAACGTCTCGGGCAGACCTATCAGTATGTGGTTAATGGCTCTGGGCACATCCACGGCCACGGCCATCAGAATGGCAACGAGTACGAGGGAAGCCACAGTCAGAGTCCCTCATCCACCACCAGATCCAGGACACTGCCGCGCAATGGCAATGGTAGTCCCGGCAATGGCAATGCCAATGCCAATGCCAATGCCAATCCGAATAATAATAATAATCAGAGCGGGGGCAGCTATGATGATATGCATGACAGGGAGTTCCAGATCCAGATCTCAGGGCTCGACACAAGCAGCGCTTTTGTGCGCAAGTCACCCACGCCCATGATGAAGTCCACGAGCGCTGGCGGCCTGGGGGGTGTGTCAGCGGGGGGTGCGGGACGTATGCACCAGCATAAGCTGAATCTGGGGATACCGGATCACTCTGGATCGGGATCAGGCTACCCGCGACAGCAGCAGCAGCAACAGCAGCAGCAGCAGCTCCAACACCAGTCGAACCTCCATCCCAACTCGAATATGCCCAAGAATCTGGAGGATCTTGACGATCTCCTTAAGTATGCGGAAGAGCATGATGTGGCAGAGCATCACCAGCACCAGTCGCAGCATCCCCAGCATCCCCAGCAGGGAGGACACCTAAAGCCCATGGCTGCAGCAGCAACAGCAGCACCGGCTCCAGGGAACAGCTCCTCCATCAAGGAGCAACTGTCGGCGAAGAGCAGCCACTGCAGCTCTGGCTATCAGAGCATCTCCACCAATCCCTCGCCCTCGCAGTCCTCCAGCCCCGTGGAGAGCCAACTGAAGGGTGCAATGAATCACCCGCATCACAATGCGCCGCTGGCCTTCAAGAATCCCTCATATCAGCTGCAGAATGGACCTCAGCCCAGAGGAGGAACCACCGCATCCATAGCCACTCCTCAACAGCAGCAACAGCAGCAGCAGCAACAGTTTGGCCAGCGCCTGAAGAAGCCTCTCGGTGCTGGGGTGGTGGCCGCCCGTGCCGCCTTCCTCAACAGCGGCGGGGCCTTGGACCCGGCCACCCTAACGCCCAGCTCCTCAGACGAGCAGCTGTCGGCGGAGAACTATTTTAGCTATGCGGCGGCCGCGGCTGCCGGAGCAGGTGCTGGCTCCACCAAAATGGAGGCCCAGCGCTCCCTCAGCGGCGGCAGCAGCTCCTCGACATCGGCATCGGTCTCCAATCTGGGTGGCAAAGGGTCAGCCTCAGCTTACGGGCGACTCAACGGCGGGGGGCCACTGAAGCGCGAGGATGTTTATGGCAGTGCCGGGGGCGTGAGCATTGGCTATGCCATGTCCACACCCGGACACCATCAGCATCCGAATGCCCATCCGCACCACCACCAACAGCTGCAGCAGCACCAGCAGCAGCAGCAGTTGCAGGATCAGATGAAGCAACAGTATCCTGGAAGCACGGCCGGCAGTGTGGGCTCCTCGACATCAGCGGCCCAGCGACGTCTCAGCCTGGATTCAGCGCGCACGCTCTCCGACAGCAGCACGGACACAGAGGGTAAGCAAACGGGATGTTCCTCTCTAAGAACAATCGTACTAACGCTCTTTTTCTCCTACAGGACACTGCAGTCAATTGCAGGAGGGGAAGCGACGGCGTCAGTTGCGCAGCAGCGGCGGAGGCGGAGGAGGAGGAGGAGGGGCGAGCACCACCTTGGAATCGGGATTAGGAAAGGTCTACGATCAGAACGGCGAGATCCAGTTGCTGCAGCAGAAGCTGGACACGCTGCGGCATACCCTCGACAGGGACGAGGCAGAGCTGCGGGACTCCAGCGATGAGCTGTTTCTGCAACGGGCCGCCGGCAGCAATGGCAGCAACAATCTGAGCCTCCAGTCAGAGTCCACCATGCGCAGCATTATCGATCGGTGAGTGAATCAGTGGGGAAGCATTAATTCTCTTGCTGAGATTCTAATGGGGGATTCCTTCATTTTGCAGACTCATTACCATGGAGGAGGAGCTGCGTCGAGAGCAGCTAAAGATGTCGCTGGCGCTGTCCCACAAGCAGCGCGTCATCGAGGAACAGGGCCAGCAGATAGCGGCACTGGATGCGGCCAATAGTCGACTCCTGAGCGCCCTCACCGCCCTGCGACAGCGATACGAGACCCAGCAGCAAGCGCAGCAGCACCAAACGCCACCACCAAAGAACCAGAAGCCACAGTGAATGAGAAGGAGGAGGACCAGAACGGGGAAAGACGAACGCTGGGGGCCGTAAAGATACAGATACAGATACAGACGGTGTGGCACCAAAAGACACAAAGATACTGTCTCTTGAGGATACCACACACCATACCGTCAACGTTTTCGTCTTAAGGATACTTTTTGTTTATTTTTTTAGAACTTTTTTTTTGTGTATGCTACATAAATTATACTACATGTTTAATATATAAACTACAGATATACAGATACAAATTGATACACATACAAATATTATGAATAGTTTCTCAATCTATGTTTAAAAAAAAGAAACTGGAAATGTGAAAAAACGAGCCGCCACACGGCGGCCGCACGATGAAAGCAATGAAAGATGAACCGCATGAAAGAGAAGAGAAGAAGGAGCGCCGCAGGAGCAGAATGGGGAAGAACGAGGATGTGTGAAGGAAGAACAAGTTAAGATATTGAATAAAATTATAACCAAAGTTTGACAAAAAAATATTTGACCATATCGTATTTGTTATTGCAATTGGACGTGTTTCTGGATAAATACTTCGATACTGGATTTTGGAACCCTACAGGAGCCTTGCGGATTTGATGATTTTTCGATCACTTGGGAGCAATCCACAGTGTACTTTTGTCTTAGTCTTTTGTTAGCCTTCTTTACGGAGCGATAATCGAAGCCTTTAAAGTATTCCATTTTAAGATGAGACTGTTGTCCGGAGATACATATCTTCGACCAAGCCTGCCATATGTCGGGGTGCTTCTGCTTGGCCATTTGGACACAGACCAACTGGATGAAGGATGTAGGTATGACCCACATTGGAGAAGAACCAAGAAAGAATAGTCAATGGAAAAGATGAATAGGGGGAAATAAAAACATGAGGACAAGCATGATGCAGGCGGGAAGGCTATGTCGGTAATGTATGCACCTGCGAAGCACGTACGTAAGGCCGTTCGAGAGCACCCGATTTAAAAAAAGATCCAAAGCCGAAGCCTTGGGATCTAAGTTCGCTTGCGACATCTATATACTCTACGGTTAGTGGTAACACCCAGAAGAAAGCGTTTCCGAACACATAGAGCATATTCATATATTCTTATTCAGCATCAATAGCTGATTCGATATAGCTATGTCGGTCTGTCGGTATTGATGATCGCCTTTCAGAGACTGTATGACCTAGAGCAACCCAAGTTTTTGTTCAGATCTTTAGGAACGAGTTCAGGATGTTTTATTTTCCTCAGACTTTGTTTCTTCATCGGAAAAGATAGAAATTGTTTATACATGGGAAGAAATGTACTAGTATAGGCCCCCTGCGAGCCCCCATTCACAATGTGGCTCTTGAGAGCAGTGAGGGGTGCCGTGGATAGCATACCCTATCCTATGGCGGCGTGAGGCCATTAACAGTCATCGGGAATCGTTGAAATCGTTAATGTCAATTTGTATTTTAAGACTTTTCTAAGTCCAGTTTTTATCTGCGTGCCATCCATGGCTCAAAATCCCATTAGCTTCTATGGAACACGAAAACAGGACGAAATGGCCTTCGAAGTAAATCGAAGAGCAGCAGAGGTGATTTTTCAACAGAGACACCTGACGTCGAAGCAGATCTAGCGCCAGTTTGATTTTTACACGAAATGTTGCCTGGAAAGGTTCAAATGTATAGTACATGGATGATACATAAATAAATACTGTGGCTCCCATTTTTACTTGGCTTGTACCACCAAAACTACTTTGTGAAGTAGATGGCGCTAAGCAGAAAGATGAGGACTAGATGACGCCACCCTGTCCGTTTTGCCTAGAAAACCTTTATTTTCTCCCGATGCAAATGAATGAATTTAAACATTCTTCAGACAGTTTTATTTGGGATATAAAGTAACGACTGTGGGATCAGGTCGACAAAAACGTATTACGCAATAATAAAAACTGTCACATATTCTGTCATGAGGGATCGGGGATTGGGATCTGGTTGCAGGTAACGACTGGCTTATACCCAACGCCATTATCAATGGATGGAAATTCCTGGGGATTTCCATTCGTGCTCGCCATTCATGAAGGAGCGCGTGGGTCTTGTTTGCACACGTGTTATCAATTACCTTCAGACCGACCCCGATCTCGATCCTCGACCTAGAGCCTAGGTAATATCCGGGATCAGGTAGCCATCGATCCGGGATTTTCCAACCATTTTGTGAATGAAACCCCCGAGGGTCGACGGGGACATATAAGGCGAACCCATGTGATCGACTGCACCAGAAGCCAAGAAAACGTCAAGCGATCGACAACTGTCATACCAAGAGCTGCTGCACCACCACCAATTGAGCGAAACGAAATTGAACGAAAACTTCCCGCCATGAAGACCACATCCAGGAACTGCATCTGCATTTGCATCATCTCTCTGCTTGCCCTCGCTGGTAGTGCGCTGGGCGCCGCCATTGCATCGTCATCCACACCACAGTCGTCGGAGCAGCGACGCCCGCTGCGGATAGCCCAGTGCCGGGAGCTCTGCTACCGCCAGTCACTGGCGGACCCAACCCCACCTGCCCTGTGCCGGGGCAGGCCCGACTGCTTCATGTGCCACGACTACTGCCGCGTCCTGGCCGTGGCCCAGATTAGCCTGGCCACCTCGATGTGTGCGGATCGGGTGTTCTGCAGCCAGGGATGTCGCGTGGCCTGCGCCTACCATCGCCTGCGCAGCTACCACCAGGAGGCGACTGCCAACACGGTGCTCAAGACATGAGAGGCAGTACCACTGCCCCTCCCATTTGTAAATAGTTGTGTATATATAGTCTACCATAAGGATCTATAGATCGTATTGTCAATAAAAAGAAAGTTAACTAAACGGAAAGTCACTCTGGGATCTGGTATCTGGGATCCTCCTTCCCAGCGATTGTTAAAGGGAATTGGCGGCTGTTGCTGTTTCTGTTTGCTGCCAGATGTTGCCCATCGGAGCAACTTGGGGCTGGGGCTTTATTAATCACCAGCGAGGACGAGGACGAGGATGTGGATGTGGATGATGAGGTTCGAAGTTGAAGCCTGCACGAAATAATTTAAAATTTGCAAATAAAGGAGAATGCAAAAAATTAAATTAAAAATGCTGCGCACATAGAAAAAGGGGCACAACAGGTGGTCACAAGAGGCACCGGATATTGGCTGCATGGCTGCGTCGTCGCTGTGGCTGTGGCAGCATATGGCATTATGCCTCAATCTTCGATGCCAGTGCATCGATAAGGCAATACGGCCTAACGGTCTTTCTCTCCACATCATCATCATCATCATCATCATCATCATCATCATAGTCATCATCGACAGCTCCCCACAATCCACAATCCTACATAACATAAATATTTGTGACTCTCTCAAATTGTTTGCCTTAACACATAATTACATAATTACATAAAAATGCAGCCCAAACCGATCTGAAAAGCCCATTCCATGCCACACCATACCTGCCCCATGCCCCATGCCCCCCTGCTGCTCTGGTGTCACATAAAGCAGCGGCGGGCGCATAAAAAGAGCCAACGATGATCATAAAAAAATCGATTTGAAGTCTATAAAAATCATATCATACAAATTTTTATATGCCATGCTCATTTTAAAATGTCACATCCACGAGCAGAGCGGAGCTGTGCTGAGCTGAGCTGAGCTGCTGGGGCATGCAACGAAGTCTGTGCCTGTGTGCCTGAGCTCCCAAAACAATATGGAGAAAAACCAGCTTAGAAAAAAACAGAGAAAATAAACGATATGTTGAATACCCTTCAGAGCAGGGTAAAGTATATCAGTAAAGTATATTTCAGAATGTGCTCTTCCGATTCTGGACAGGAGATCCTACATTTCACATCTTTCCTTTCCTAAACTACATTTAACGACTGCTATTTCCCTTAAGGATCATCCTCATCATCACAGTTCCTCGATCGATTTGCAATCCATTTCATTTCCTTTTGGAAAACCCAATCAACTTTGCCCTCAACCTATCCCCGCATCGTCGTAACTCAATCGTTGGGAAAGGGAATGCTGATGCCGCTGCTGCCGCTCGCATCGGACTCGAGACTTAACCGAAATGGAAAACTAAGCTGCGTTTTTTGAAAGCAAATTAAAAGCCACGACAAATGGCGCAAGAGGAATGACAAATAAATTTCCCATTGACCAACAGGTGCTGCTCCCAAGGGGTTCGGGCTGGGAGAGCTGCAAACACTTTACCATCTCTTTATCATCTGTTGTTCAGTACCGTTCCACTGTCTTTGGCTCTGGGTTTGGGTATGGGTCTTCGTCTGAAGCTTCTCCAGCGAATTGAAAACTTTTCTCGATGATGCAATAAATTCACAGATAAATGTTAATTTACGAGTGAGGAGAGCACACCAGCTGGGTGCCAGAGCGGTAGGAGAAGTAGGAGTAGGAGGAGGAGGAGGAGGAGGAGGAGCCCTCTCTGCTGGAGGATGGAGATGCGACAGGCTGTCTGGTAGGTTCTCTGGGATTCTCCCTTCCCCAGAGATTATGATTATTGAAATGTTTTTTTGTTTTTTATTTTGTGTGAGGTGTGTGGTGTGTGGTGTGTCTCTCGTCAAATGAAATGCGCGGCGGGCGTGCAAATCACGACCCAAGCAACATTCACATCCAAATCTGAATCCGAATATATGTACGTCTATATGGTGTTATGGGTACTCGGACAGGCTACAGGTACAGATACAGATACAGGGATACAGTAACACAAGGGCAGAGGCTACAGGGTACAGGGTACAGGTATGTATTAATTAATTATAAAGCACAAAGAGTCTAGAGACAGGCCGAAGAGACAGACACGATGGACACCTTCATAACATAACGTGCACGAAGGTGAGAAATCAATTTTCAGTATCTCGCTTTGTGTTTAATATTTTTCCAGTGAAATGCGCCGCCGAGCGACGATGATGAGCGGCCCGAGTTCTCGGCTTCTCAGCCTCTCAGCCTCTCAGCCTCCTGCCCCTGGGGCACCAACAGACACGCAGAGTCGACTCCAGTTTGAGGTTCACCTTCAGGTTTCGGGGACGGACTCTGTTTAGCTCTGTTCTGGGGCACGTAAATTAGGATAACAACGTGAAACATAATTATTACTTTGGACAGATATGGCAACGTCTGCTGCGCCTGCGCCTGCGCTTGTTCCTGGACATGGATCCCAGCTCCAGCCTCAACCTTCGAGCCCTGCCACCAGTGCCAGTGCCAGTGCCAGCACCAGTCCCAGTCCCAGTCCCAGTCCCAGTCCCAGTCCCAGTCCCAGTTCCAGTCCCAATCCTGCAAAGGCGACTCGCTTTGTGGCCCAAATAAATGTATTTAAGTTGGTTAACGCCTTCATTTTGGGGGGCTTGTGCTCGTCCGATCTTCTGCTCTTGGACAGGCCCCAAAGTAGGTGTAATAAAAAATATGAATTGTTGTTGTATTAAGATCCAACGGCAACACAACAAACAGCAAAACAGCAAAACAGCAGGCGAAAGATCATTCAGTGATTTTTATGGCCCAAAACGAAGTCAGAGTCCACACTCCAGAGGACTGAGCGCTATGGGAATTCGTGTGAAATGTGCTTCAGAGTATTGCTCTCCGTCTATGGCAAATACCCAATCGTAGGTCTGAGGTAATCGAATGGATTTGAATGAAAGAACAGGAAGTGATACTTGCACTATGCCACGTCTTGGTATGCCTAAGGATTCCCCATCCCCAACCGATTAACCATATAAAGTTGTTAGTAATGTGTGCCCATTTTTGGTGGTTAATTGGCATTTGATCTTTGGGGGCTCATCAACTAATTAACGCTCAACGACTTGCAGCACAATCCTCACCAGCTGCGCTTGCCCGGCCACCCGCTGATGGCTCAGTGGTTCATTGCTGGTCCAGTGTCCCAGTATCCAGGTAAGGAAATGCCACAAAATTGAAAATGCAAAACGAAATTGGCAAGCGAGTCAGAGACAGAGACAGAGATGGAGATGGAGAGGCCAGAGGCAGAGCTAGCTGTGGCAGTGGCAGTGGCAGTGGCAGTGGCAGGGGGTGGAAGCGGATACGTGGGCCATGGCCGTGCGTAATGAAGACGTTAAGCTCGGAGCTGGAGCTCAAGATGCAGCCAAGGATGGGGGAACTAAAAGCTGAGAGCTGCCAGGCATACGTCCCAGTTAAAGTCATCGTTCGTCCATCCCCATCCCCATCCCCAAACCCAAACCCAAGTCCATAACCATACCCATACCCTCTATAGCCATTCCCATTCCTATTCCCAATCTCCTGCCTTGCGCTGCGTAACTCTTTTGAGGCTCGTTTCGGTTCCACTTGCATGTTAACTGAAAATTCGTATGAAGGCGAGAAATTAATGAATCATTCACACCTGCATGACGGATTGTCTGCATTACTCTCCGACTCTCTACCGTACCTTCCCTGTTTTCGGCTCCATTTTGTACGACTGTACGAGCAGTGCCTTGCACCCTGACACCGGCTCTGAAGCGCGAACGGGGGGCGCGGCTTACCTGACGCTTCTGCCGAAGGAGTTGCCTTCTAATTTATTTGCCTGATGTGTGTATTACATTTGTGAGTCGGCCTCCGTCTCCATCTCTGCGTCTGCGTCTGTGTCTGTGTCTCTGTTCCTGTTTCTGTTCCTGTTTCTGTTTCTGGCCCTGTCGCTGTCTTTGCTCTCTGACTGCATTTTCAAAATTGCCTCTTGGCCATCCAGGCCGAGGTCGAGACTCCAGCTTTGAGTCCAGAGTAGACCTGGACCGGGACCTGGACCTGGACCTGGGACTGATGCTGATGATGCGCTCAGTGATACAGTTGCACGGTGCACCGTGGGTTTCAATGATAAGAAAATCAATTTCTAACAAGAACATATGTATCTGGACTTACATAGATAACATATAACTAGGGAGTGTGTTCGCTTGTATATGAATATACTATACTAAATGCATCAAAAGCAGCATTTCGATAAATAATCGAACAGCCAACTTATCGAACAACGTCTATGTCTGAAGTTTAACCGATAATTGCATCGATAATCGCCTAAATCTATCGGCATGCATACTATCGGCATACTGTGCCCATTCCACGGTGCGTGTGCCGCGTGTGAACTTGATGGATGCACCACTGCCGCCGCCTTTTGGCACTCCTGCAACGTCCTCCTTCTTGTTCTGCGGCCAACCTCCCGGTATACCCGTCTTTTTCCAACTTGCACTCGTTTTGCGTGACTGTTACGTGGCGTGGCAGGACAGGGCCCAGGGCCCGGCGGGCAGTTTGCTGCAAATTAAAATTCATACGGATATGCGTATTCACAAGCATATTCACACTGCCATTCGCACTCACATTCACATTCTTAACCCCATGTGGCCCCCGCAAATAAAAGACGAAACTCAGTGGCTGGGTGTCATGGGGGGAAATTGTATACTTAAGTCTTTAGCTAGTCACCAAATCCAAATCTATTCGCTCCATCTACTACTCGGAACTCTACGATGGATATCGACATTCGTTATGTCCCCAAAAGGGATTCGATGCTGAAGGGGGAGTTGTAGAGACCCTTATGCTGGGAGGGGAGGGGCACCTTTGGTGTTGGCTCCAGCTTGATCATAACCCGGCTTCGATGCTCGTCGGGCTCGCTTCCGATGCTCCTTTGGTAGGTCCTCGAGGAGCTGTACGAGTTGTCCTGACTGTTGCCCACGCTCACCACATCGATGGGCAGCTCGTCGTCCTGCCCCTCCTCAACATCCTCTTCCTCGTCGTCATCGTAGCCGTGCTCCA